TAAAAGTCACAGGAGTTCTTAGAGAACCGCACGCTATCAATAAGTCAAAATTAGTCCCATACGTCCCTCGTATCATAAACACCCTATCATGAACTGTCGGTTACGCTCGGGGCCTCAGTAAAGAGTATCTCTTCAAGGTAAGTCCGATGGTGGCTTGATTAATGATACAAGCATTCATTATATGGTTCTATGTACCTTCATCCGGATACCACTGTAGCTCCTCCCAATGGTGGCCACTGCTACAGCGCCCCGGAACGTCTTGTCAAAGTAAGCAGAATCTGCGCGGTAGCACGTCATAGCATATGACGCCTAGGCCATGGACACCAAAAGTGGACCAGAAATGATTGATGTCAAGCATAATTTTGTCCCATTATAAAACATATGCTTAATTGGATGCAAACCTACGTGCCCTTCATTGTAATATGTAATTTATCCAAATCCATAAATTTCAGAAATTTCTTTTTTCAGTAATGACAAAGAAATACACTATTTTCGTAAAAAAAAATTAACATCAGAAAGAAATTCTCGGAATATTCATATTATAGATAAAACAAATGCCCCACTTTTTTATTAATTATTGTTTGATTTAACTGTGTATAAAATAAAACAGGATTTGATATTAATAACAAATAAAGCTAAAGATAAGGTTACTTAAACAATATATTATTATGAAATCATCTTATTTGATGTAAAACTTTTAACTTAAGTCTTTACGGAATATATATTGTCAGTTCTCTAAAAACAATAAATGAATACAATTTAAATATTTGTTTCTATTAGTCTTCTTGATACATACACCTATGCTAAAATCCAAAAATAAAAAGGAAGATAACGAAGTATAAAAGGTGAGAACAATGAATATGCATATGCTGCATTTCTAAAGATATAAAGGAAAAGAAAAGTAAAAATTTAAGGAATGACCCAAACATACATTATAGTTTTTTATTTCTCATACAGAATCTGCCAAACAAACTCGTGAGCTAAAAACGACACTTGAAGCCACAAAAATTTGCCGGTTGACATACCGACTGTGAACGAAGATTATTTTGTCATCCTTATCAAATTACAATAACTTTTCAGCATAATAATAAATGCATATATTAAAAAAAATCAGTTAGTAATTCTGGTAATCACTGTTATTTTGAATTTTTAACTTTAAAATTAAGAAAAAATGTATTTTAAATTTTGAAATAGTTATTTTATAGTGTGATTTTATGAAAATGGATTGATATTATGAATAAGCTAAATATACTATGTTAATATTGGATGGTCATGATATAAAATCTATTAAGGCTTTTTAAGAATTTTAGAATAATATGACTGATGTCTCTACATATCATCAAATAATTATGAATTTTTTTTCTTTCATCTTTGAATGCTGCGTGTTGAATTTCTTACAATGTCACTGTACTGTATGTATAGAATAATTATTTTGTCTTTAGATTAAAAGCTAAATCTTTTCAAAAACATTCAAAGGGTATTTTTAGAACAGAATTAATGGATAACGTTTTGATTATATAACACACAATCAATTATCTCAATTTTCATAATATAGTGTTTTTTTTTGGCATAATCAATTATACTAAATTGTAGTTAATTATTATAAAAATATATTTTCTTAAATAATAATTAATTATTTAAATATTGATTCAATCACAAACTTAATGAGTAATCAATTATATATACAAAACTAATTTATTATGTTGTTTTTATTGAGTTTTATATTTAATCAAAACAAAATAATTGATTATCACCAAATACAATCTATTACCAAACAGTTCATATACTATTATTTCAAAAATAAGTGTATATAAATAAAAAAAAATCTTTCTGCTAACTACTAATTCTCAATTCTTTAAAGATTAAATTTTTTGTTTTTTCACAAAACTCACTAGTACAGTTAGAGGAAATGGCAACCGGTTATTTCCGCGATAGGCAACGGTTCCTGAACCAAGGCAATTCAGGCGAGGTAAAAGTGATAGACTTTATGCCTCGGTATTAGAACCGAAATTGTCTCTGCCTTACTGCCTCGGTTGAGGTCCTTACCGAGGCAGTAGGGTCTTTTTTTTATTTTTTTTTCCTTTTTCTTTAGAGGCTGCGCAGTTAACGTCGACCTTCAACATCATCCAATGAAAGTTGATCATTCTCAGAAATTCGAAAAACCAGATCAATCCAGACCAACTCAACGTCCAAAAGAAGCACGTAAACAAATCAAAACAAATTCCTCAGATTCAAAAAATTATTCTCAGTATTCAATTCAATCGACACAGTCCAATTAAATGCAGACTCACGCTAGAATCCAATGTACGAACCAAGCAACCAGCTGCAACATCAAAAATAATCTCTTACACCACCATCGCGCCCATATCCCCCTCATCTCCCACGTTTCTTCAACACACCGTTGCTTCACATCCGTCCTCCTTGCTAAAAGCCTCCACCAGACTCATGCCGTAGACCCCCCCCCACCCCGCCCACCACCCACCCCCCACCCACCACCCCCAAACCCCACCCCCCCCCCCCCCCCCCCCACCCCCCCTCGCCCCCCCCCCCCCCCCCACCCCCCCACCCCCCCCCCCCCCCCACCCCCACCCCCCCCACCCCCCCCCCCCCCCCCCCCCAACCCCCCTCCACCCCCCCCCCCCCCCCCCCCCCCCCCCCCCGCCGCCCCCCCCCAACTCCCCACCCCCCCCCCCCCCCCCACACCCCCCCCCCCTCCCTCCCACCACCCCCCCACCCCACCCCCCCCCCCACACCAACACCTTTCCACACCCCCCTCCAACCTCCCCCCCCCCCCCCCCAAACCCCCCCCCCCACCCCCCCCCCCCCCGCCCCCCCCCCCCCCACCCCCCCCCCCCCCCTCCACGCCCCCACACCCACCCCTCCACCCCCCCCCCCCCCCCCCCCCCCCCCCCTCGCCCCCCCCCCACCACCCACACCCCCCCCCCCCCCAGCCCACCCCCCCCCCCCCCACCCCCCCCCCTCGACCCACCCGCCCCCCCCAACGCCCCCCCCCCCCCACAACCCCCCCACCACCCCCCCCCCTCCCCCCGCCCACTCCCCCCCCGCCCCCACCACCTCCCCGCCCCCACCCCCCCACCACCGCCCCCCCCCCCCCCCCCCCCCCCCCCCCCGCTCCCCCCCCCCCCCCCCCGCCTACCCCCGCCCCCCCCACCCCCCCAACAGCTGTTGTCGCAACATCTGTTTTGCAAGAAAAAAAAAAAAAAAAAAAAAAAAAAAAAAAAAAAAAAAAAAAAAAAAAAAAAAAAAAAAAAAAAAAAAAAAAAAAAAAAAAAAAAAAAAAAAAAAAAAAAAAAAAAAAAAAAAGGGCTAAAAAAAAAAAAAAAAAAGCTCCTATATCAAAAAAAAAAAAAAAAAAACACCAGATAGCTGGACAAAAAAACAATATGTTTAAACGCAAAAAAAAAAAAAAAAAAAAACGACGCAGATTGTTGCGCAAAAAAAAAGTCCGTCGACGCAGACCGGGCCACCACCAGACTGCCAATCAGCCACCGCTGCTCCTGCGTCGCTTCTGTTTTCGCCAAAGCCTCAGCTTCGCTCGCCGATCGCTTAACCAACACCACGAAGAATTGCAGTCCGTCTCCGCATATCTGCCCTCCGTGCGTCCACGATCGTGCCCTCGTCACCGCTGCGTCGTCGTCGCCGCATCTCGTTGCCCGCTGCTGTTCTCGGGCGCGACCTTGCTGGTCGCCGTTGCGTCCACCATCGTCGCACATCGCACATCGCGGAGGAATATCGCGAGGCGGAGAAAGACGCAGAAGGGAAAGGGGCAGAGAAGAGGAAGAGATAGCTGCGCAGGTTGGGTTGTGGGCAGATAGAGAGATAAGGAAGAGCTGCGAAGAGAAGAGAGAAGCATGCTTTCTGGAGAAGACGCAGAGAAGAGAGAAGTGCTTTTGGGGGAAATGGGAAATGAGCAGGAGGTGATTAAAAGCACAATATGCTGGGTGGTATGCCAACCGAGGCCGATCTAGAGTCTAATATGCCTCGGGTCCATGCAACCAGGTCGTATCCTTTGCTATGTGAGGATTATGGCCTCTGTTCACTCTGATAACCGAATCGTATACTTTTAGCAACCGGTTGCTTAACAACCGAGGCATATAATGTGCTTTAAATTACGAGACTGCCACCGCTTTTTGATATGCTTCGGTTCAGTAAGAACCGAGTCATAATGTACGAGTTTAAAAACGTCATTTTTTACTAGTGCCTAGTTAAAAGAAATTTTTTACATAAGGCATTAGGTGATAATATATATATATTATATATAATATATATTATATATATATATTATATAATATATATAAAACATATATATATATATATATAAATTATTATAATTCTATATTTTATTATATATTAAATTACCTTTAAACTAATCTTTTTATAACTGATCATGAGGTGATATATTTTCATATTTTTTCTAAATTTTTTAAGCGAGTTTCTTACACAATGTTTGGTTCTTTATGCAATAGGTTTTTACACGTGTTGTTAACATTCTTGTAAGTTATTTTTGAAAAGGTTGCATACCTAAAGTGGATTACATTTTTACATGTGAAGCATGTTTGTAATTTGAATTTTCATGTCCTATCACTAGTACATTAACAAGAAAAGGCACCGGTTATATTTTATTATTGACATCGGTTGCAAACCCGAAGTATATGTGAGCGAGGTAAAAAGGACCGATTTTATGCTTCGGGTCATGGACTGAGGTAAAAAGCATACAAAAATATGCCTCGGTTCTTACATAACCGGGGTGGTATCCTATTTTTTTTTTTTCAGATGCAACCTGCAACCAGTTTTACAATAGGCAACCAGAAATGGTTTCAGAAAACCAGAAATTGTTTCAGCAAAAAATTTTTTCAGCAACAAGAACTGTTTCAGCAAGCAATGTTTTTCACGCAATCGGAAAATCCCAATCCCAACCCCAATCCCAGATCAAAACAGACCTAACCATTTTACAATTTCAGAAACCCAAGTGCTTGTGACTATGAGTCTTCACTGGCTGGCCTCAAAAGCATGAAGAAAAGAGTATGAGAGGCTCGCCGATCTGGAGAGGCGGAGGCAGCGGCGATCTGGAGCGGTGGATCGAGAGCGGCGGAGGCAGGCAGCAACGACGGAGGGCTCGCCGATTGGAGAGGCGGAGGAAGCGGCGTCTGGAAAAGTGGATGGAGAGCGGCGGAGGCAAGGCAGCAACACGGAGGCTCGCCGATCTGGAGAGGTGGGTCGAGAGCGGCGGAGGCAGGTAGCAACGACGGAGGCTCGCCGATCTGGAGCGGCTTGGCGATGGCGATCTGGAGCGGTGGATCTAGAGCGGCGGAGGCAGCAGCAGCGGCGAAGGCAGCGGGCGAGGCAGCGGCGGAGGCAGCAGCGGAGGCACGGACAGAGAATAGTGAGAGCACGAGGGGAGTGAGAGCACGAGGGAGTGAGAGCATGAGGGGGAGTGAGCACGAAGAAGAGAAGAATGGGAGTCACGGGCAGAGAGAAGTGAAAATGAAGAGTTAATGTCAGAACCGTGTGTTAGGTGGCAGGAATTATGCCTCGGTTTCGCCTAAAACCGAGTTAGTAGGGTCTTTTAGGCATCGATTGCTAGGGAACCGAGTTTGTTGCTCTTATCAGACTCAACAGCTGTCAGTGGAGCAGGTTTGGGCAGAGTTTTATGTCTCGGTTTTACGTAGAACCGAGTTAGTAGCGTGCTTTAGGCACCGGTTTATGGAATACCGAGGCATATTTCAGTTATTATTACGACTCTGCCACCCGCACTATTATACGCTTCGGGTTCGCTTAAACCGAGGCGTATATTGCGCTTCCCAATCCCATTTTTTTACTAGTGTATGTAGAATATATAAATATGTTTGATCACTCATAATAAACATTTCCGAGGAAGAGGATGATAATAATCTCACATAACTTTTGCTTATTTGATTTATGGATACTTATTTTAGAATCAGTTTTAAGAAAATAAAAAACTAGAAATTGCGGTATGTAGTTATTAACTATTGATATTAAAACCTTCATCAAAATATGATACATCATGAAATCTGTCTCAGATATTTACTATTCTTCATTGATATATTTCTTGACTGATATATTTTCAGATTGGATAAGCAATTATTGTGAAAAGATTGTCACCAAAAATTGAAGCTGCAGATTCAGTGAGATAAGAATTATTAGAACATATCACGATAAAAGCTCTCCCGAAGAAAGAAATGATGTTATGTTAAATAGGTTGTTTTTTCTTCTTACTGTATTGTTTGATTTACACTTTGTGGAGTCCGGGAGAAAAGAAAAAACATGAATGAAAAAGTCAAGATATAATATAGGTTAATATGCATTTAAGTTTGATTGTTGTAAATAACGTACTCAAATATTTGAAATACCTTTCATATATATACTATATACTATTTCAACACAAATATCAAAATTAGTTTTATAAAATAAAATAAGATCATTTAAACTTTTTTCATGAATATTTTACAAAATAACTTTCTATGAAAAAAATTAAAATATTTTTTTCTGCAATTAATATATTTTAATAGATATTGCAACTACTACAAAAAAAACATTTAAAACCAATCTTAATTATTGTTCAAGTACTTTCATTCAAAATCTAATATTTTCACCTGCTTTATCCTAATTAGTATATAGAAAGAGCTATTGAAACATGAGACATTAAATACAAACATATTTTTTAGTAAAATTCTAAATCTTAATTCACAATTTTATGATACAATAAAATATCTTTTTTAGTTAATGTTATTTCTAAATTGTTTTTGTTTATGTTTGTGATTTACCTAAATCTATAGTAATGAATAATGAGATTCTCTTAATTCATTGTTTATGATTTACTTTTTTTTATAGGTAAAGAAATTGTATTAAATGAGCATATGGATGTTCTTTCCATATAAACAATACAAAAAAAGAAAAAGAAAAGAAAAATAAAGCATTTTAAAATCTAAACATATCTAAATCTTCTATTTTACATTTGAATATCTTCACAAAAAAAAAAGGAGTATATATAAAATATATATTCTACCTATTATCATATAAATATTCTTGCACCACAAAAAACAAGATATATATATTTCAGGAAAGAAGATATAGTGTTAATCTTCTCTAATTTCATCCTACTTTTCCGAATAAATAGTTTACTTATCACATAGAGTTTGTGCAAGGTGTTTTTTAATTTTGTTATGTATAATGTATGTTCCAACTTGGATTGTTTTGATCTTTTATATAGCCAATGTTAGGAAATGGACTTAAGTCTAACTCAATCCCACAAAACCAGTTTGTAAGTTGGATTTGCATTGCCCTCACTTATATATTTAATTTGGCCTTTATCTCAAGTCGATGTGGAACTTTCAACAACTATATTTCAAACTCTACCAAATATATCTGCACAAGTTTCTAGTAATACATGCATGTTGGTGACAAAATCCTCTTCTAGATGTATCCATCAAATTAAACCTGCAAAACAATAGACAGATCTAGACTAAAATGCTATGCATGTATAATGCTATAGAAATATTTTATTGCTCTCTTATTCATGGTTTAACCCAAACAAAGTTAAAATACTCCCTTTTCCCCCTTTCGCATAGCTAGTTAGGTATAGACTTTAAGCACTCAGATGGACTAAAACACCAATTTGAATAAGATAATTTAGCTTATGAGTTTTATTGGTAATCTAAGCTCGTGTCTTGATTTGTGCTAAAGTGAATATTCCTATTGGAGAATTTGAAAGAAATTTTATATTTTCCATCCTAATGTTAGA